AAACAAACAGGAGGAACTAGGAGTCAGTGCAGCTGCAGAAATATGAGTTATCTGAGCTACCTGTCATCCTAGATGATGAAATCATGCAATAGGATTACAGGAAATGTAATGGAATAGCTTGCACGATCGGAGCACTGCCATGAACAGACACAAGATATTTGAAGAAGGATGAACTAAGAAAGGAAGGAGATTCTTGCAGAGGAAAGGGAGGCTTGAATGCATATACTTTTGCTTTGAAATAGGTAAGGAACAAGTACAAAGTTTTTGCATGAGGGTTAGAAGACAGAACAACACATGTGACATTTGGGGGAATATTGCTTCAAAGCACCTGATCAAGAGAGCAAAATAGATAAAGCCTTCTTAAGGGAAGTCTTACAATAGGGTCTAGTTTTCACAGAGGACTTACAACACTCCAACATCTGCAGAAAGGGTAATACAGCATGATGGAGACAATCAGATTTTTGGAAGATGGAGAACGTAATTTCTTGACACAACTGACTAATGAACCAACAGGAATGTGAAGACTGATGGCAACCTAAGAGGCAGTGACAATGTGTAGTCACCCTGACCAGAAGAGTTCTGTACATGGAGGAATTAGTGATGCACATCAGAGTTCAGCTGAAGTGGCCCAGGCCTGTGTTGCTCAGCTACCTGGGCTGCAGGACAAACTCAGCCAGGTGGTTGTAACAGAGGAGCCTGCAGGCAGGTCCCACTCAGCATCTGCAGTTCCATCACCTGCATGGCCTTGCCTTTATCTAGGGATGTGGTGAGAAGTTCTCCTGAGAACAGTCTTTCTGTTTGACAGTAGAAATGATTAGGAGTTTTACTGTAAAAAAATCCTGTAATAGCTTGAATAATGAAAATGGGGTAACTGTTCTACAGGGGTGACTTTGTCAAAGTGCAGCAATGGCCCTGAGAAAATTTTCTCCAGTTGGCCAACATTGGTAAGAGGGGAATTCCTCACTGAGCTCAAACACAAACAAATAGTGCAAAGAGTGCAGAAGTGGGCTACCTATAGGAACAAAAAAATACTGGTTTCAAAGGAAAAAGTAAGAAAACTGTGCCCCTGATGGTCAGTAGGGGATCTAGTAATGAAAGAGATGGAAAAAGCTGAGATACTTAAATGAAACCTAATGATTCTGTTACATATGCATATTCATTATATTTTCTAATGAGGAAACTATAACTTTCTTTAGAAGGTGAGTAAATATTTCTTTCAGCTATTCTGAGGCACATACACAACTTATCAGAACATAAGGCAGGAGTATTACAAAAGGCTCAAACAAGACAAAATTAAATATTAGGTTAAGAAGAAATTGCCTGCAAGTATTAAACCTATTATTCTTCATTACTCTTCAATGCACGAAAGAGCCAAATAATTCTGTAAACTAATAATTTTGTTTCTTTTTGTTTGTTTTTCATACAGGAATTCAGTGGTGTTTATCTTAAAGAAAAAGGACAAAAAATGTCTCATATTGTTAAAAACAACCAAAACCAGATTCAATTCTAAAACACAAGAGCAGAAAAAGTATCTCATTAGGCAGGAGATGCTTTACATATAAGAACAACTGGCATCCAATTTCCAAATCATTAAACTGTATCGCCTCAGGCTTGAGGCCTCTGAGAACACACAGCACGCTGCAAGAGAAGGAGAAGCTCAGGAAATTTCATAAATTTCTGCTGTGCTTTTAGAGAAACTGCATCACTACATACCTTCCTGCACACCTAGCTAACCTAAAAATACACCATAAATTTATACATACAGATACGTGTATGCAGGCATAGAATCATAGATTATCCTGACTTGGAAGGAACTCAGAAGAATCATCAAAGTTCAACTCCTGGGCCTGCACAGGAGAGCAGAAGAACCTCACTATGTGCCTGGGAGCATTGTCCAAACGCTTCTTATGGTTTGACTGCCTGCTATTATGAATCCTTCTTCCTCTCCAGCCTGGCCCTGTGGTAAGTTCTGCCTCATTCTAACAAATGACCCCTGTTTCAGTGTCATCATCTTGCCTACCTAGAGACAGTCTCCACTCCACTTACCTTAGTCATCTAAGTATATATTCACCTCACTTCTACAAACTCCAGCTTGCTTCTACAATTGTCAATGTTCCTCCTATATACACAGTTTATTATCTGACAGTTTAACAGTACATTCCCTTTTCACACTGGTTTTCACCTTAATTTTTTCCTTTAGGCTTCTTTCTCCATATGCCCATCTTTGGACACTTAGGGCTTTACCACAGCACCTGACTATAATTTTATTGATTTTAAATCACAGTATTATCATGTTGGTTTTGTACCTGATGTAAGAGCCCTCCTGATAGTTGTGCCTAAATCCCTATTAGCAAAGGTTAACTCTGCAGGAAGCAACCAGCCCCCTTTTCAAAGTAAAGACAATAGTGGTTTTATTTAAAGGGCAAATATTTGACAAGTCTTAAACATTAGCTAAGATTCTTTTCCTCAGGTGTGATCTCTGACACTGCTGAACTGTCCCACTGGCTTTTCTTTTCAGAAAACACAGCCAAGATCCAATAAGCCAAGGCAGGCGATTTCAACATTTAGTGACTAACAAATGTATTTCCAGTATTTTCAAACACAGTGTACTTCACTATATATCTTCAGGGAAAGTCCTCTGATTAAATGAAAAAAAAGGAAAAGCTTTTCAGAACATCAGGTCTGCTTTATTTTAACATTATTTGTATTAGCTTCACATCCAAAAAAACCCTCAGATAAACAAGTAATCTTTATGCACAACCCACAGTTCTCAATAAAGGATTTGTGATAAAAACATGCTGTATAATAATGTAAACACAGTCATTCTAGAGGAGCTACTTTAGCTTTTCTGATAATGTTCCCTCAGCAAAGGAAAAACACATATAAAAATGACAAGGTATTTGTTCCTTACACCATTCTCTCCAATTTCCATGCATATACACATGCCAGTGAAATGCACTGAGGCAAAAAGCTACATATTTACTAAAGCACTAGTGGATTACATGTTGGAAAATTGTTGCAATTAGGAGTTGGCTCCTCATTTCACACAACATTTACCCTCTCACCAACACGATGGAGATATATTAACTTAGAAAAGCTGAGAATTTGATCCTGGCATATTACCAATATTTATAAAGATGAATATAAACATTTCTACATTCTAAAGTAGGCCCACCAGCAGCCAAAAACTCAACAAAACAAACCCAAACAAAAAACCCCACAACAACAACTACAACAACATAAAACCAACCAAAAACCCAAACCAAAACAAACCACACATCCTTGCATTTCCAGGTCATTCTGTTAAAACTGCATGAAAGTGAATTAAGACTTTGGTTTCCTACAGGAGTAGGAAATATTAATGTTAAACTTTAAGACAGTTATTTTTTTTAGTAAAACAGTCATCTAAAACAGTCATCCTAAAGTCATCTGCCCTTAAAGGCTGGGTGCAGCTTGTTTTAAGTAAGTGAGACTCAAAAATCAGCAAGATGAAAACATCAACATACCTCACCTTTTCTTCAGACCTCCAAATACTGGAAACCCTAGGTCTGAGTAAACCCACTTTCTAGAATTTTTAAGAAATACTACTTTGTTTTACATCTTCAATACAGTTATTTCGATTAAGATGAAGCTACAGAAAAAATGGTGCAACTACCTAAAAATTTAGATCCTTACAAGCAAGTCAGCATCCTTACACAGGCTGTAGGAAGTACTTTCCTCTGCTAAAGGAAAGTTTTCCTTTCAGTCATCTGGTACCTTGGAAGGTATTCTCATAGGAAACTAGAAAACAGATTCCCCTGCCATTATACTACACTCTTAGAGTACTGAACAGTTTTTGTAAAGCTTAAATTTCACTCAGCAATGCAGGAAATCCTAGAAACTTCTTGAGTCTCAGTGAGGTTACCTTCCATAAAAAATAGAGCCTCCTAGGATAAACCCAATTGTCACTACCCAAATGCTCTCAAACTACTCACCCTGAACTATTATACCATAACAATCTAAAAACATTCAACTTAGCAAAGTCATTCTATTGACTGTTATGGACTGCCAAGCACAACAAGGCTTCAGCTTGAGATAGGATCTTTCCACGTTCTAGTATTTTTTTCCTTTTTTTAATTTTAAGTCAGTATAACAGTCTAAGACACTCCAGATATAACTGCACATTGTGTGTAAAAGCCTTTCTGCCTACGTGCTAAAAGCCACCACAGGAACACAAGCCCTCTGCACAGTGCTAACTTTTTCTAGAAAAAGGTATGAACCACATAAAGAAACGTTTATATATTCTTACATCACTACAAATTACTAATTCTATGATTCTGAAAAGTTCTGCTTCAGAGAAATTACTTTGTTATATGACCACACTGCTGCTGCAAAGACAGCAAAAGTAGTTTGTGTCAGTTCCCTGTTGATAAGTAGCAAGTTCAGATACATCCAACTTACAGAGTAGTTAAAATAATGTAGACAGGTTGCCAGACTTCATTTTTGTCTCAAACAGCATTTTTTCTTTCCTTTTTAACTTCTTCCTCTTCCAAATTAAATTTAATAACCAAAAAAGTGACTGCTTTCTTGTTTGATTGTCCTACAGCTGTAGAAATTCCACATGGATCCCACTTCCTCTCCCCTGCCCCTTCCAAGAGAGGTAAGTGCTTATCCAGCAGTATTTGGCAAATAATTTGGCATTCTAATTGAAACTGCTTAAGCATAAATTGTGTTCCAAATCAACTTTTTTTTTGCCTTTTTCTAAAAAAACTCTCTTAGTTGAGATTAATGAAACATTATTAATATTTCAGACAAATATTAAACACCAAAAAATTGAGGTTTGGTACTAGATATAGCCATTTCCTCTGACACTTGCAATTAAAAAGCTGAGTAACTAACTGCAAGAAAAAGCCCACCCCAGATGCCACATCTCATACATAGTAACAACTCAGTTCTCATCAAAAGTCACTGTTTCACCCAAACACCAACATTTATCTCTGATCTCAAAGCAATTTACTTACCTTGTGTCTGCATTTAAGTACAACGCCATAGGCTCCTGAAACAAAGAAGACAAGATATAAACAATCTTAAAGCAGAAAAAAATTAAAATTGGCAAGATAAAACAGTGTTCAGTCACCTCCTGCATATAGAAATAATATTGTTCCCAGCACTGTTATCCAGAACTTGTATACATGGGTACTAAACCTCTGTGTACTGTAAAAATTTTATAAAAATTGCTTGAAAGTCAATGGATTTTAAAACACTGAAATTATTTTAAAAAATATATACTTGCAGATAAGTTTGATAACTTGCATCTCCCTAGTACCATTAATGAGAAATTAATATACTAAACTTTTAAGGAAAAAAAAAACTACTCCAAAAACCGCAAAACTGTCCCATTTCTCCTCCATTCCTTTCACCTTCCAATCCAACTGAGAAGAAAATTAAAAGAAGCCATAGAGAATAAACTGATGTTTTTATTATCTGCATACAAGTAATATTTTGCAATTGATAACATAAAGAGGACTAAGTCAAATCTATACAAAATTCTAATTAATTTTTTATTAAGGTATTACTTACCTTCACCTACAACCCCAAGGATCTCAAATTTATTCATCACATTACCAATGTTAGGAATCTTCATCAAGACAAATTCCTCTTACGGTGAGAGCCACAAAACATGGCACAAAGGGGAGCGGCTGAAGACTTTGCAAAAGGCAATTGTGAAAAGGCTCTTGGAAAAAAATTCCACCTTGATCAACCAGAGTTCTCACACTTTTTCTTAATTTCTAGGCAGTCAGTAGCTTTCTGGGGAAAAAAAAGAGAAAAATCATGTAGTTAGTACTTCATTTCCATAAGAGAAAGCAGTGGTATACAGACATCACACCAATATAGTCCAACAGTTGTAACAGACAATTAATTTACTTCTACATTTTATGATCAGGAGAGCTTACCAGCATGTATAATGGACAGAACCTACTGAGAACATACATCTGACACAACAGCTGGACTTGTAATCCCATATGCAGGATGTCTATTACAGTAATAACTAATTTGCATAAAGTGATTTTCTACAGAACAGAAGCAAACAAAAATGTTGACAGGAACTACCTTGGTGAGCAAAAATACACTTATAATTACTTATAGTGTAGGACAGGTAGGGATAAAAACAGATTTTGTTTAGTTAATTTCTTATTTGTCCACTGTAATGATAAAAAGGATGAGGTAGAAAGAGCACTATACAGAAGAAAATATTATTCTACTACTATTTTCTGTGATTGTTTAAAAAAAAAAAAAGGAAATTATTTGTTAGACTAACAAGTAGATTTAATTATTTCTACTATCAGCTTATTTAATGGAAATGTGACAAACAAAAAAAAATGTTTTCAAAAGGTTTTTCCCATGTTTCCCAAACGTAGCAGTAATTTTTCAGATCAGGCAACTATGCACAGGGAAAAGAACAAAGTTTTTGGCCTGTTTCAGGCTCAGCACTTCTATCATAGAAGTCTAATAAAAAAAACCAAACAAACAAACCACAGTTTGGTTTTGCTAATTCTGTAGAAGGCTGTATTTGTTTCCCTAATATTAAAGGCATATATCCCAAATTCAAAAACAGGGGAAAAACCCCCTAAAGTAACTTCATGACTTGGAAATGTATCATTTTCACAATTCAGTGATCCAAGAACAGAACTACTCATGAAGAACAAGATGCAATCACAGAAATGAATACATTTAATTAACTTATGTGTAATGGGTGAGTGTGACCCAATAATACTGGGTTCAGCTCACACAAATGGGATTTCACTATAAGCCAGAGGAGCTGGCCACAAGTCCTGGGTTGACTAAGTCACACATAACAAAGGATGACTCAAGGGTGGAGGGAAATTACAATGACACTTGCTTCAGCAAGACACAGGCAGATAATATAAGGGGGTTTGTTATTTTAGAAGCAACTCCAGAGTGAATTAACCACAGTATTTTGAGAATAAAGCAGTGACTTCTAAATTGAAGGGTTGGTTAGGGTTTTTTGGTTTGCTTTTGTTTTTAAAAAGTTGCCCACTCCTTAATGGGTTATTTCAGTGGTTTAATTAATCAATTTTTTCTTCACTTGTGAATTGTATGAAATATTCTTTCCTTTCCCTTCCATATACTCTCCTCTTATCTTATTTGGCATCTCCTTCTCACAAAATCCTTTGTGCTGTTTGTCCAGACTTTCTTGTTAATGAACTAAAAAAAAAATGAGGGCCTGGAAAAGCAGGAGCATCTGCTCAGTTGTATCCAACAACATAAGAACAGAGTCTTCACTGAGCTGCTTCAGCTTTTGACTGAAACAGGCTGTGCCAGGCACAAGGCATAGCTGACTGTCCCCTTGCTTCAGCTGAGTGACAGAAATACTGCCACAGAGACCTTGAAACAACCATTAATGCCACAATGTAAGCAAGACGCAAGAAAACTGGTCAGCCTGGTTTAGAACAGCAAAATTACTTGCCAGAAAGAAAGTAGCAGTCAGAGAACGTACACTCTGTTTTCTATTAGCACTATGCAGTAACATCAGCAAATCTGCTGCTTCAGTTTCCAACATTATTCGTTGACAAGTCCTTCCGGAATTTAGTTTGTGATAACATTCATTACTTATCTGCTAATGTTATTACTGCACATTGTCTTCCTGCATTACAGTGTACACAATACTTCTTGGATCTATGATGAAACAGTGAAGCAACTTATGAGATAAATGTATCAAAAACTCAAGAAGAAATTTAGATGCAGTTTGCCCTGTCCCTTATTCATAATTTCTAAATTTCTCATAAACTACTTAAAGCTATACAGGCTTGTGATCCACTATTTTTTGTTTTATTTATTTTTAGGAGTTCTGCAAGTGAACTCAATATGAATCCTAGCTTTTTATTGAGAATAAAGGTTACACTTGCAAGCAGCTAACCTTCCTTTCTGAACTCCCCAGCCAGGGAGGTTGTGGGTGCCCCAACCCTGGCAGTGTTGAAGGCCAGGCTGCATGGGGCTTTAAGCAACTTGGTCTACTGGTAGGTCTCCCCTGCCCATGGCAAGGGAGGTTGGGATTAGATGATCTTTAATGTCCCTTCCAACCCTTAACATTCTATAAGTCTATGACATTCAGCACTATACATCTTCCTCTCCCCAGTGATCGTGTAGTCTTCCCTTCTCACTTCACTAGAAGTAAGAGCCACAGAAAGCTGATCCCCTTGTTACACTGCTGCTCCTGGATGCATGGCACTTACAGCAGCATTCACATGTAATTCCTTAAAGGTAGAGGCCTGTCAACTCAATTATTGATGTTTACTCACCACTTTGGAAGGGATACACTTCCAAAGAGACACAGGAACCAGCTCCTCTAATCCTCCCCAAAGTGCACCATGACTGACAGCACAGGTAATACAGATGCACGTACAGGGGGTTCCAAAAGGAAAATGCTCTTGAGTGACCCATCTCTTCTGCACTAGCTCCAGTCATCTTTGTGCCCAATTCTGCTGAGAGCACTTTATGAGAACTTCATCTTGCAATGAAAAGGAAAGCTAATGAAAGATGACAAGTGGAATGCAGCAGTAGTATGGATTCATACCTAAACACTTTTTGCCCTAGCTCTTTTGCCTCAAGCAGGACCATAATTCAAACATTAGTGAACTCAGATTTGCCAGACCCATCTAATCCCTAGACAGAATTTATTTGCTTGTTTGAGATCTTTGCCGTCAAAAGCTCCTGAAAGACTAAAACCAAACTGCTAAAAATATGTGTTCAATGACAGCACCCACAGAACTTCCTGGGATTTTTCTGCTTTTTGAAAGCCTTTTTAAGATTGTTTTTAAAATCACTGATTTTTGCAGGGAATCTGGTAACATGAGCTCAAAACTCCATGAATGACACAGAGTCTTATGAATGGCAGAGTGTGTAACTGTAATACAAAAATAAAGAAAAAAAATCAGGAAGTTTTAAACAAAAAAGTAATTTCGAGAAAGTTATCCACAGGAAGAATTACATTATTCTGTAACTTAGTAAAGACAGGCTGGATTCTTTCAAACTGAACACTGAAATCAGCAAGGAAAATCTTATTAATAGCAACCACAATTTCATTTTTTGCAATGAGTGCCACACTGGTCTGTTTTCATAAGCTGCCTGCTGGCTGGAATGATAACCCTTGCAGAAGAGGAAATAAGGCCATCATTTACCTCTCAAAGGTTCTCAGTAGGGAAATAGCACTTATTCTCCTAATATCCCTTTCTAAGGCAGCCAGATTCACAGCACATCAACTTACAAATTAAACCAACAGATCACTGAGATGGTCTCAACGTTACCAGGATGTTCTATAAAATGCAGAGCCAAATAAAATGTCATGAAATGAATAAAAACAAATTAGTTTTACTTAATCCAGAAGTGTTACAGTGTGAGATTTTTAAACAAATGTAGCTGTTTTGTGATAGCACATAAGGTTTATATGTAAAAACCAGAAAATGTACAAACATTTTTGGAATGAGCATACAGAATAATACAGCATTATGGTAGCTGATCATTTGCATTTAAATTAAAGCAATGGGGAAAAACCCTAGCTCTTACTCAATTCCTTTTCCCTTCATGACCATTAAGAATTCTAGCACATCCCCCAAAAGCACCAAACTTAACCACTCAGTCCAAAGCCTCAATCCTAAGTAAAAATGCTGTTAATTATTTCATAATCATCAATAGCTGTGTGGAGAGGGGAAGCACCTTTCATAGTGTTAGATTTTAGCAGAGACATTTAGTGAGAGTTAAAAAACACTTGAGATAGACCTTTGTCTTCACAAAATCTGGAGAAATATAACTGTTCTAGAAATACAGTTAGATTTGTATATCAGCATCTTGCACATCAAGTATACAGTTCATTTAATTTATCAAGACAGAGAGAGTGCAATTTGCACCCTGCTGAAGTCAGTTACAAACTTCTAATTGACTTCAAAGTCATCCATGGGTTTTTAAACAAGCTTCTTGCCAGCAGACAATACACCCCTCTTGCTCCCCTAAACCAAGAAGTAAACTTAATCTTTGTATTTATTTATTTATTGTTTACTCACTGAGAGGATACAACTAAGAATTTCTAGAGGCTTGTTACGTTTTCCTCTGTTCACTAACAAAACAGCTGGTTCGAAAACAAATGTGAAGAACTTACACCTTATAAGTACCTGTCTTTGATGGCTATATCTAAAATCCACATCCTTCTGTCTACAAGGTACACAGATAAAAGGCAGCATTAACCACCTCTGATAGCCTTGATGCATCACTCAGCACCTTTTCTTCTCTTCCCCTGTATATATGTAGTTCTATTTATGGAGATTTCCCAGGAAAACCCGAGTTAGAGTTACAAGCACCTGTTTCAGTGTTATAGCAGAATATACAAGTGACAGGGTAAAGAAAATAGCTGGCAAAAATTTTTCTAGATTTACCAATCCATCGGAATGTGCCAGGATTATTATGAGGAACTACTGATTGGGAAAAACAAATTTGGCATATGAAAAGTTGTAAGGAGTATGTTAGCAGTAACATTCTGACTTTAAGAATGGACAGAAAAATAATACGATCATATTGCTAGCAAAGTTTTCCCAGCTTCACTCCTCAACTTGGAAAAAAGCTACCACTTCATTTTTCCATCTTATGGAGGGACAGTAGACCTTTTAATGGGACAAGATTCTGGAGGAATCAAGATTTCATAATATGAAGAAATTCACAGAGTGGAAGCTGAAAAAAAGAAAAAAATGAAGAGATAAAAAGTAACAAGAACTTGCAATTATAGCAAGCCATTTTTC